CCACTGCCTTCCCCTCGTTTATCCACCTATTGACACCTTCAGTATATTCAAGTTTGTCCATGATGAGCAATTTTTAATCAACATAATGTAGCTTTGTCATTGTGGGGAAGAAAAGAAAGGTTGTTGTGAAATTCATTAGTTACTTGATGCACCTATATAAGGGACTTTCTAAAGAAGCTATTTGGACAAACTGTGTTTGCGTCAGACCCCTGTCTTACGGTTTCTGGTACCTCCTTGTCAGGTGGTTTTCTACCCTTGAATTGTAATACAGCTTGGAGGTTTGTTTTGCTTTTTCAGTGTCCTCTAATCCTCTAAGGCACTGGATTTGATCCTTAGAAAGACACAGAGACTGGTGCAGGGTTGTGCACTTCCCAGCATTTGACCCGCTCTTTATCTCCCACTGACATCCTCAGGACAATTTTGATTGCTCCAGTTAGGGTGGCAGGGGAACTGGGACCAGGGCTTCAAAGGTTCTGGAACTGAATGATTATTGGACTTTCTGGTATGTTTTTATATTGTATTGTGCACAGTCTAGCTTGTAAGATTGTACAGACGAGGAATTTAGCAAACATTCATGCAGGAACCAAGCACATGCTTTATGGCTTCTGCTTCTTTCTGTGGCACATTTAGATTACATCTTTAGGTCCTCACTGTACTTCAGTTAGTAGGAGAGATGGGGAAGTGTCTTCTGGCATACTGGGAGAGTTGCGAAGCATCTGTGGACCTTTCTGGGCAGCTGTACAGTTAGCATACTTTTTCGTGGCCACAGAAAAACTGATGTGACACCCAAGCCAACTCCCTCCAGTCCTCTTTTCCAAGGCCAACTTGCAGCAGATTCTTCGTTTTGAGGAAATTACTGCCTAACTCCCTCTTGGAAAGTCTAATTTCTGTTACAAATTTTATCAAGGCTTCAGGCAGGCAGAACTTCTCACAAACCAGAAATTCAAGGTTTTGATCTGACAAGCTGTATTGTGACAGCTGAGATGCCAGATCAGATTACACAAAGCAGTATTTTACAGACCATGTCAGAACAGAAGCCGAGCACGTTTCAGCTTTGCATCTTCTTTACATGTAAGACTGAGCCAATCTGAACAGTTCAGGGATCCAGCTTCTGAGGGAAGTAACAAAAAAGCTTTGAAGAAAGATGAGATCTACTTTGCCAGTGTAAAAGTCCTGTTCTTTACATGAGCAAAGGTTCTCCTTCACAACACAGTTTTTTGCCTGTAACGAACTATTATAATTTTAATTCAGACCACCAGCACTTCATGGCAAGACCTATGGATTTATAAATTTAGAAGAGAAAAATCACATAGGAAGGATAATACAAACCCAAACCTCCTGCAATAGTCAGACATTTTTCAGCAGGCTAAGACAGGAGAAAAGTGTGAAACTTAACAGAGCAAAAGTAACACAATTGCAATAGCTACTGTAAGAATCCATTTCTGCTTTCTAGAGAATACTTACTTGAGAAGTCCTGCAAGATAATGACTTTTCATTCAGAAAATACTTTTAATGTTCTAATTATTGTATTTGAAGTTGGTCTACACAGCAAATGTCTAATTCCCCATTTCACCCAAACTTCCCCTACGCCTATGACTGACAGATTTCTCCAATGAAGTTTTAGCCTAAAAAAAGTTTAGGTTCTAAACCCGCAGGTCCCATAAGAAACACGTGGCCATGCAGAGCCTTGAAACTACTGTCTAACATACAAAAAGCACTACAGTCACAGAACCACTGTTCTTCTTGGACCATGAATGCACTGGAAATTTGATTCAGGCTTATACACTCCAAATATAAAGTTGAAGGGAATCAAGCATTATCTTGAAAATAACCACAGTTCTTGGCCATTTTACATCTCAGTTCCTCATTTGCATGTGTAATATGGGAGACTGGAGCTGCATGTCTCATTAATGCACAATAATCTAAATGCTTAACTGCAAACAGGGGTAATGACTGTGTTCCTAAATCACACTGAAGGAATGGAATTAGTTGGCACTGACTCCCTAGAAATTTTAAGGATAAATGTAATACATATTAAATCATCCATGACTTAACATGTTCTGATAGGACGATACAGATAAATGTGGTTATCTAATGAGGAACCGTGCCAGGATTTTACCTAAAGACTTCAGTGAAATGTGCTGGAACTTTGCCATTAACTTCACTACAACCAAAGTATTACTCTCTTGTCTCCAGTTACTTATAATCAGTGTATATCCCAGGGGGCCTCACCTGCTTGGAGTCTGCCTTCAAAATCTCAGGAAGTAAAGCAAATTGGAGAAGTCAACTGAATTAAGATAGTAGAACTGATCTGTCCCTTAGTTCCGTATTTCTGCAACTCTACTACCTGTGTTTCATTACAACAGAAAACAAAACTTTGTATTTTGGTAAGGCTATGCACTGAATCACAAAGCCATAGCAATTTAAAGTCTTGTTTATTGTATTGCACAAGATATCTATGCAATCCATGTAGGTACTGTATTAAAGGATCCACATTTCCCAAAACACTGGCTGTTGCAGCACACATCACAAGCATTGTGAATAACCAGTGCCTTCTTCAAAAATCAAAATAATCGGTTGCAAGTTTAAGCATGTGTGGCAATAAATGAAGAAAAAAGCGAGTATCAATACATATTTCTTTTCAAACACACAAATACACAATTTTTAGAAGAGCACCAATAATGCCAAGCGACTATTTTGCTGATACTGTTTGTGTAGGCTCTGCAGTAGAGAAAGCCAATATGCACACACACGAAAATATATTTCAACTTTTAAAATAATTTAACCATAATATCTTGCGTGTGTCATCTGTTTACAACATAGCATTCCATCTACAATGTCAGGCCCAAGCCTCAAGTTGTGTAAATTTGTGCATACTCATTTAAAGCAGCTGAGGCTCTGGACCAGGTGTTCAAGCTGAAAAAGCCTTCCAACTGTTCATGTGTGAATACAGAGTGGTAGTATAAGACCGAGAAAGTAGTTACAGTGAAGGTGTAACAGAAATGGAAAATTAAGAAAAACACGGTCAAATCCTCAAACACAAGGTTGTAGAAAGAGGCCTACATGTAAAGTGATGCTGTAATAATTTATAGAAGTGAATAATTAATATCAGTCTCCTTTCTGACACTTAAACATTCTCATATATTCAGGAGCCCATGAACTAACCAAATGTCTCTCATATACTCAGGAGCCCGTAGAAGTGAACTAACCAAATGTCATAATCAGTATCATCCTCAAACTCCATTTCTTAAGTTTCTGATCATTAATACTGGTACTTAAAAACATTTTATATTTGCTGAAAACGGTTATTAAAATTTACCTTCCTGCTATGAGAATTTAGTGTAATAAAAATCATGAAAAACAATAGGTAAAAAAATAGTATTTTAAGAATATTTTTAGAAAACCCGTCAAACAACTGCAAATACAGCTATTTTTAAGTGTCTCTGCTTTTGAACTATTTTTTTTTTGTTGTTTTTTTGTTTAAGTGAATCACTTAAAGAAGCAAGGGAGTACCAGTTCTAACATTTTTTCTTGTCCATTACATTGAGGACCTCATCCAAAAGTGAAGGTCCCAAGTCAAGTTGTAATGAGAGAAGAGAGCCTGCAAGATCTGAAAGGGATTCTTCTGACTTTGTCTTGGTTAGTTCACATGAAAGTCGACTGTCATCAAATAAACCAACTGTTTGCCAATCAGTGCATCGTTCAGAAAAGCTGGATGAGTGACTGTCTCTACCGTTAGTAAAATTCGAAGAACCACCATTTTGCTTCCATATGTCATCTTTGTATGTTTCTCCATCCTCCGTCTGTTTACTTTTCTCCTGCAATTTTTCTTCTATTACTGGCTCACAGCTAAGCCTAGAATTTCTTGATGACCTGATAGATTCTTGCTTTGAATTAAATGTCACTGGTGACAATAAGGGCAATGTAAGGGCTTGAGAACCCCCAATGGCAGGAAGGGAAATAGCATTTTTGAGCACTGGTGATGGAGTTTCTGTAAACATGGATTCAGATGTGCTGTTTGCCCTTAAGAATTCATTGTGGCCACCAGACTGGCTAACTCTGGTTTCTCCTTCATTTCCAGGCAATAGTTCATAGTTGCCCTGCAAAAAGGAGATGTCTCCAAACACATCATGTTGTCCCTCTTTTCCAATGTGTATGGTGTGACGAAAATCTCCAAGTGGTGGGCTAATCATATCAGGAGACAAGATATCTCTTAGTTTGAATTTCTTCCCTTTCTTATTGTTAGCAGCTTTTAAGTAGATGGGTGTCTTGGCTGGCATCTTGCTTGTAGTTTGCGACAGAGGAAGTTATTAAAAAAAAAAAAAAGGGGAAGGGGAGAGGAGGGAAAAGCCTCTTACGAAGTCAGTTATCCTCAGGAGACCTTCAGCATTATCAACATTACATTTTCATCTTGAACCACTCTTGCACACGAAGTCCCCTTCTTCTAAAGCAGAGAACTGTGGGGTGTGTGAAGGTGAATGTCTCCCACTGCACGTCTTCCCAAGCTGGAGCACAAGTTTCACGTCAGCTAGCAACCAAATGCCTTGTTACTTCCAGAACTTGAAAAAAAACCTGCATGGGATACAAAATCAGGTTATTAATTTATTTTTCATGGTTCATTCAGTCTTGTATTTACAAAAAAAAAAAAAGAAACGATACTGACAGTTCCAGCCTGGAGATTAGCTTTATGTTGTTGCTTCCCTTCATTAGTCAAGATAAAAGAGTTTAGCTTAACAAGGACTAGCTAACCTTTCTCTGACTTCATAGCTTTTTTTGAAGTCAAAGTTTCTTAGACACGGTTGCTGAGCACAATTCATTTGATAAATATCACTATCTCAATCTTTCTTCTCCTTATTCTGGCATTCAAAATGCTGGCCTTTGAGCACAGGCAGAAACACATTTATAATATTCAACAACATTAAGCTTTTGGTAGACCCAGGAAGATCGACAAAGTCATAAAGGAAACCTTTTTGGAAATGGAATAGACCACTTCGGATTAGAAGACTGCAGATAACCCCATCTAGTGCTGGAACTCTCATAAACTGCCACCAGTAACATTTCTGATAAATGTGCCCATTTAAAAGGATAGGTTTAGGTACTTGAAAAAAGTGCTAGTCCAGGTCTTTACAATTAGTTAGAAACATCCAAATGCAGTTGTTTTAGGAGACTGATTCTTGCGACTGTAATCTTCAGACTACAGGAATTCTTCACAGCAATCAGTTATAGACTGTAGCTTGTGAATTATGTAGACCATGACAACGCAGCACAGTGACTCAGAGTTACCCTGTGCATCCAAATGAGACAGTGTTTGCAAACCAAGTCTTCCTATTGGAATGTGGTCTCTGAAAAGCCCGATAAAGCACTCCGCAAGAGCTAAAAGGCTATTGCGTCAACAAGTTATGGAGAAACACTCTTCAGTAATGCTTTAATGGTGTATTTCTCCCTTACGGCACCAGTTCCTGACTCTCAAGCAGTCTCAGAATAAGAATGCATTTTTCTCCTGGACATCTTTGTACTTTCCATTACTCAGCCCATGGATCACCAGAGCATCACAGGTCACTCCTCCTCAGCAGACTACTCTGCCCCAAATCCCTCACGCTGTCCATCACCACCCTCACTCCATAAAGGAGCTTGCAGTTTTTGCACATAAAGATCGTTCTATGCAAGAAGGGAAGGGAAGCTGCCTGTAAAGCAAGGGCTACTTTTGCTGCCTTTTGTCCATGCCCCAGCAGATATTTTCCTTCAGATTAAGCCCAGTACGACTCACCAGTTTTAAATGCTTCTTGACAGTCTGGCTGAATAGCCATATAATACAAAGTTTTAAGAATCACAAATCCTTTAACCTGAGTAATTAGTTCCTACAGTAGGGTACCTAACTGTGCATCACAAAGGTAACTGGGAATCTAGCCAGGTTAATATTTTGGGGGTTTTTGATTCCCACCAGATATCTACTGCACTTCAGGTATCACTGAAAAGCCCTCCCCCAAAAACTATAAACTGATCCCAATGTTATATAAATTATAAAGACATTTTATACTTTTAAGCTAAATTTTGAAAATATATTTGATTGCATCAGTTAAAAGCACTTCAAGGCTTCCTTCTGCACAGCAAAATGGTAATTCATTAGGATCTACAGAATAGTAGGAGATTCACATTACATACCAAAATTTCACCAACTTAACTCCATGTCAGTACCATAAGATATAGAAGTAAATCCTAAATAAGATCTCTACTTGTGCCATACCCCAAGGCAATGGAACTGATTAGTCAACTCAGCTACCTGTCTGTTTTAAGCTGAAAAATTCACTGCATTGAATTATTTATTATAATTCTAATAATAACCTCTATTATCATTCTACCCAAGCAACCCATTTAGCTAAACAAAATGTCATCAGCTCTGAAGAGATGATTATTGGAAGACCATTATCACCAAACTCCACAAGATTTCAAAGAAACCTGAAGGTCATGATTTAACATTTGAACATCAAGAAATACTAAAATCAAGTGTAAAATAACATTTTATGTAAATAATCGATGTTGACACGCAAGAAGAGCACTGTGTTTTTTTCAGCTCATAGCTCGGGGTTAGTAGAGGGGGGGAAATGCAAAAACCCAAAATAGAGCAAACTTTGGGGCATCCAAATCTCCTTTAGTTCTTGCACTACGACAGAGCCCCAGCAAGGGGCAGTGTAAAACCGCACTACCTCAGAGGATGCTGCAAGAGATACTGGTGCCAGGAATTATAATCCCTGTCCATACACATGTCCCTGTATTTGTGAAGGCCTTGCCTTCCATTTGGCCAGCGCAAGAGGCTTTACATTGGAAAAGAAGAACATTCACAATTAAGTGCTTACTGCAAGCACGGTTTGCTCTGCTGAAAACAAAGGCTACCCTTGCTGTACGTTTCACTTGCCACTCTACTGAAAAATTTGCAAATTAGACCTTATAAATGAAAGATAAGGGTTCCCTCCTCAGTGGAGCATAGGTTTCAAAGCAACTGTACTTTCTTTCTGCATACCTATCCTCTTTGTCAACTACTGCCCAAAGGCGTACAGATTTTAAACTACCTTGAACAGCTAAAATATATCATAAATGTGGAAATATTCACTTACCCTAAAATACTGTTGTGACTCATATTTAATTTACAATTAAATAAGGAAGAACCTGTATCAATATACAACATGTGGTGGGCAGGGTTTTCTTTGGGTTTGGATGGGTTTTTTCATTGTTTTTTAAAGTAGTTCTTTTAGAAAGAAAAATAAAAGTCTTCATTTGGCAAATGAAGGAAGGTTTAATGACCCTAAGCCTCCAGCTCAATGCCTACAAAACTAAAAAATGAGTCCACAAAATTTTCACAAGAGCCTTACATACCCCCTGCATTCGCAAGATTTAATGAGATCACCAGTACACATGGGCAAAGAGAAGGCACAGAACACACTCCAATCTCTATACCAGGCCACACAATAAAGTACACCTTGTCTTAAAATATGAACTGCTTTTATCTTGCTGCTAACAGCCTTTGTTTTGCCTAATTTAAACTCAGTAACTAAGCGAATATCTAGCCAAGCTGGAAAGCCGAATGAGAAATTATCAGACCAAAAGGCACAACAAGAAGTCCACACTCCCAGACTGCCAGCCTACAAAGACCTTAATTTAAGAGGAAAAAAAAAAAAACCATGAAAGGATTTTTCTTCCAGTTGAAGTGATAGCCCCCTCCTAACATCCAAGCAGAAGCCAAGCCAGAGAAACTTCAGCCCGGTGAAAATTAAAGTTTTAGTTTGGCTGTAACACTTGTTCATTTCCATTCCTATCACTTCACGCTCTCATGTAAGTGTTTTGCTTGATAACAAAGGCTAATATTTTTCAGAGGCGCTTTTCAATCTGCCGTGCGAACCTTCTGTCTACTCAGCCATCATTACTTCCACACAGCTCAGTTCTCCATGGACGCCTCAGTTTATTCCAGTCAGTTTTAAAAGGACAGACTATCAGCAAATATCTCAACAGCTAAGCTTACAAAGCCAGAGACAAGTAAGGGTCAAGGTGCAAAATTTTTTTGGGTGTACAAAGACCAGGAGAATCCTTATGCCGCATCCTAGGCAAAGAAATGATAGGAGAAAACCCTATTTCCATAGAGCAGGACCAGAAGCAAGTGTGCACTTTGGGAAGCCTACGGGCTTTCTACAGGAGAACCCAGTGCGAGGGTTGCCTTACGCACCATTGGCATGTGAACTTTAGAGAAACCATTTCCAAAGATCATTTAAAATTACACTGAATTATGTTATTGAGAGAGAACACTAGGAAAAAACAGTCTATACATTATTTCAATATCCACCCCGGAATACAGCAACACAGCAAGAGTCAGATAAGAACTGCACAGTAAGTTGTTGCAACTTTTCTACACAACGAAGTACCTGCAAGCATAGAAGAAATAGGTTTTAGGGGTTCATTTTAGGTTTTAGCTACCAGTAGATTTCAGCACCACAGACTGTCAAGCATGTCACTGTCAATGCTGGTACTTTCACTATGCCTGAAACAATATCACTGCAAAGCATGTTTTTATTATTTTTGTAATAGGGGCTTGAACTCGTGTAGTCACAATTCCTGAACGCAGGTAAAACAAACTGCCAGTATAACCAAGTCTTCAGGTACAAGAAAAGCAGCGGATGATGCACCATATAGCTTACCTCTCACGTTCCTGTGGACAGGCGTCCATATCAACCGGCAGCCTCTGAAGATGAGGGGCCACAAGTCTGTCTGCCTCTACAGCAGGCCACCAGTGACCTCTGCTTAGAGCCACACCTTCTGAGTAGCTTTAACCAAATCAAGTGGCAATGCTTCTCCCTCCAGAATGTTCATCTTAAATTACCTTGTTTCTAAGACGCCCAGCCTTTGAATTTATCTATATTAAAGTAAACTTCCCTGATCAGATTAGGAGTCCTTGCCCCTTTGTTTCTCCCTCCATCAAACAATTCGCACCTTTCTGATTAAAGCTACAGATTTAATTACTTCATAAAACCAAATCAGGCTAATCACACTTCAGCTAATTTTCTCAAACTGCACTCAACCTACTTTCCTAGATCAAATCTAATTTATTTTATCCCATTGCCACATAAACTTTTTAGAAAACGAAGGAAATCCCCAATCTTTCCCACAGCTCCAGAAACACAGGTCAAGAAGGGATCCTATGATGCAGTTCACTTCTCCATTTGTCTCAAAAGATCCAGTTGCCTCCTGCTAGTCCTGGGAGATGTTTGTCCACCCTCCTCTTAAAATTCCCTACAGGGGTAGCCTGCTCACATTAATTTACTTCACAGAGGCTAGACATCAGAGTAGATACACCCTGCTCCAATCTGGGCCCTGATGAATACAGTTCATTATTTTTACACATTCTATACCTCCTTTCAGTCCTCTCTTTTCCAGAATAAACAACACAAATAGTTCAATCTTTCAACACAGGTCACGTTCTGTGGAGCTCAGATAGCTTCTCCCCAGCCTCCTTTGCTGGTCTTCCTCCCTTCAGCTGAAGTCTTTCTTTAAATATGCCCAAAAGCAAACACAACA